AGGAGGCCAATTACCTTCCTTGTCCTAAATACAACATTCCTGTTTATACACCCCAGAATTACATTAGCCTTTTTTGCAACTGCATCACATTGTTGACACATATTCACTTTGTGATCCACTATAACCCCTGGATCCTTTTCAGCAGTACTACTGCCTAGGCAGTTATTCCCCATTTTGGAGTTGTGCATTTGTTTTTTCCTTCCTGAGTGTAGCACTTTGCTCTTGTTTTTATTTAATTTCCTCTCGTTGATTTCAGACCAATTCTCCAACTCATATTGAAAATATTGTATAGTACCGGACCCAGGACAGATTCATGCAGGACCCCACCAGGTACATCCTTCCCAGTTTGACAGCATTTTTTTGGGGGGGAAATCACAGCCCTAATCGGCAGAGCTATGCTGGTATAAGTTTTAAGTGTAGACGAGACCGAGTGTAGATGCAGCTATTCTGGCAAAAAAATGCTTTTGCCAATATAGATTATTCCAGTCTGACAAGCAAAATAAGCTATATAAGCAAAAGCACTTATATGTCGGTATAACTGTATCTACAGTAGGGCTTTTGCTGCCAGAGCTATGTAGCAAAAAAAACCAACCAAACAAACAAACAAACCAACCAAAAAACGGCACTATAATGCATCTGACATAGCTATGCCAGCAAAATGTAAGGTTAGATCTGGTCTTAGTCATTGGCAATAACCCCCCAAATACACATTACTGTTAATGTTGTGGCAGTAGAAAACTAACAAACAGATTAATTAAAAATTATCCTAAAAATCCTGCCACTAAAGCTTTACATAGGGCACTAAAAGGCCCATACCCTTTTTGTTGTGAACAGGAAACTGGCAGTTGTACAATTAAAATAAAGTTTGCAGTGTGTGATGTACAGTAAGTTTGATTCCATTTCTAAGGGAGGGCATTATGTCCCTCCTGGAGCTGCAAAGCAGGGGACTACAACTGCCATCAGGCCCTTCCCCACTGCACTTTCCTTTCCCCTGGTCAGGTAAGAAGGGGAATGATCCTCCTGAACCAGGAGGTGGCCAGGGCCTCTTTGGAAGTTTAAACAGCAGCCACATGCCAAGCAGAGAACTGGAAAGAAACTGGAAACAGGAATAGATGCAGAGCATCATGTGGAACAGGCTGTGACTGCCGGACGTTACAGCTGGGCAGGTCTGTGTGGGACTTACGGGGGACCAGCAACCGCTGGGCAGGGAGCCAGTGCCCAGAGGCCCCAGTGGGAGACAATAAATGAGCCTGGCCTGGAAACCTGCAAGCACTTATATACTAGAAATAAAGACTGGGCTGGAGATGGCACCCCAGGCACTAGGGCTGAAGAGCCTTGACTCTGGATTGGACTGCCCCCGGCACCCAAAGAAGAACTGCTATTGCTCACTTTGAACTGCAATTGTTGAAGGCTCTGTACCTAGGGTATCTGCAACCTGTCCGTTTCCTGCCATCCTTAGTAAAAACCTTTCCCTTAGCCATGAGTTTGAGTGGTTACTGGGACTCACCAGGTCTACTTCCCTACAAGGCCTCGCTGCTGAAGCACCTACAGTGCTTGCCTCTGAGATGTGGTACACTGGGAATGCTACTGTCACCCTAGGGTGTTGAGAAACTCCAATAATAGCAACAACATAAATACAACATATACTGCATACGTTTTGCAAATACTTTCTATTAGCATTCATTCTTTACAGCCTGCTCCAGGAAATAAAAACAGCAGATTTCCACCTGTATCACAAAAATATTTTGAATCAAAATATAATTTCATATTTTACAACAGTGTTAGAGCTGTAACTTTCAGTAAATTGGCAATAATGTACATTCCATTAGCACAGTTAAAAACAACATGAGCATATGCATTTCACACAGCCTATTAACACCAACTATCTCAGATGCAAAAGCTTGTTAATTTTCAAAACTAAATTATGCTATGTTTAGATCTCACTATATTTTTATAATAGTGTTCTGTTGTTTAAAAATTAAAAAATCTGGTTGCTGTCCAGTCATGGCACAAGCTACTATCGATGTTCTCTTCACAGAAGAGTGTTAAATCACCATTTACAAATAAATATTGAAAGTGAAAAAATGCCATCTGTACCACACCCTGATTACTGAGGAGGAGCTGAATCAGTCTGCAGGAGCACAGTGCAAATGTTACGCAAGCCTTAGGGGAGTGGTGTCCAATCTTGGACCATTGAAGGGCCAGTTTGGCAATTTTCAAGGAGTCTGAGAACTGCTCCTAATGTCCATAAAATGAAGGAAACTGCTGAGTCTATACCCTGGCATGTGCTCTAGCAAATCAACCTGTAGTTTGCTTGGGCCACCGCGCCATGTTAAAGGTGCGGAATTAATTCACTCAGATTTGTACAGTGTTCTGAAAAGGTAAAGCACTTTATAAGCGCAAGGTGTTATTTGGCCAAAAACTTTCCTTTGGACACTCCTGTCTTATTTAAAAAGAGATTGTTCAGTTTTAAAAACAGCCTGCACATGGTACTGAAGTAGATAGGATATTGTGGGAAATATTTCTGCATATATTTATATTGAATCCATGAGGTCAGTGTTTTTCAGTGATATTTAAAGTCAGTTTTGAAAGTAAGAGCACAAAAGGCTGTATTATTTCTACAGGTGCTGGCAGCATTATTGTATGGGATAATGTTTCTCTTGCGTCACTGTAATGAATCCCTGATTTACTTACACTAGATAGTGAGTAAGCACCATTTGAAAACTCAACATTTGCCGCTCACTGACTACAGTATCACCTAATCTAAGTATCGGAAGAACCTGCAATGGTTGCAGATACTTGATCAGTTAATTTGTTTTAATGGTGCTCGGCCTCTACTGATTTCAGAGGTGGAAATTTTCACTATGGTGATTTTTAAAATGGCACAGCATGATCATCTGGCAAAATGCCAACCTAACCATGGAACTTTAAACAATCCTATACTTAGTCCAGTCCACACCAAACACATTTATCCTATTACTACTTGTGAGAAGACTTTATACATTCTTACTATGTCTGGTCCATCCTAAGTGTCTTGCTCTGTATAAATGCAGTTTAGGAAATAGGTTGTTTTTTTATGGTGCAGGTGTTATTTCAAGTTGTTGCAGTTATTGCACCATAGGTGCAATCACTGATGCAGATAAATGGAACAGACATGTCCCCTGCCATCTTTTTGCTGCTCTATTTACGTCCCCCTCGATGTGAATGCAGGTTTCATGCATTCTCGCTTCAGGCCTCCCATTCCCCCCAACATTTCAAAATGTGGCTTTACAAATGACTAGCTCAAGATAGTAATGCATTGATCATTCCTAGGTAGTGAAATAGCCGCATGTTAAATACACATTTTAAATAGCCAACCAGTGGGGAAGAGAGTAGGAATATAAAATACTTGGTTTGGGTTAGGATTTTCAGGTCCTCAGCACATACACACACACACAATGCAGTCAGTGAGAGCTGCACATGCTCACCTACTCTAAAAATCAGGCCCAGTATTTATGATTCTAGCATAGTTATAGCAAGGAAAACTAGCACGTAGCTATATTTGGCCATGTATATATTAAATATTGTCCTTTTCACCATCCGTTGAGTTTTCCACCTGACACCATGAAGTAAGCTATACATTAAATATGTAAATAGGTGACTCTTTACAATGACATGGAGAAATCTATATAGCTCTCCATGTATTCATTAAGAACCGTCTTTTTGTATTACAGTCCATGCAGCACCATATGGCAGCAGGTAAACGTAGAAATGACACAGTAAAGTTTGAAAATATATTCTCCTTCAGCAAACCTTTCCAGGCTAATATACATTTTCTATACGTTATCACCTACCCAGAATTTGTCACCTGAATCCTCATAGCAAAATATATATATATATTAGTGCAAATGGAGACTCTTGTAAGTCTGAAACTAAAATACAAACATATTAATCACTATCACTGAACAATAATTATTTTCTATTTCGCTACATAACCTAAATAGGAAAGAAATGTAATCTAGTTTGCAAATGAAAGTAGGCATATTTCACATATAAATTTCAATTTACAGTAGATAAACATTCACATTCAATACAGCAACATCAGCTTCTGCTAGATAAACTACTTATAATTGACACAGAGCATATTAGATTAAAAAATCCTCTCCAGTGATGAACATAACTCACGAGGCAATATGGAAATAGAAGCATAAATGCATCTGAAGACAATGCAAGCACGGAGATAGAGAAAACAATCACTGTTCTGCATTATGCAGAATGGGCTCCTAATATACTGATTCTATTAATAAACAGTGTTGCTTTTTTTTGCTAATTTATTCCATTGAGAGAGAAGGGAAAGTCGCTCAGACTTTCAATGGTATTTCTGGATCTGAGTGCTATCAAGGCCTGATCCAATTCCCATTACAATCTATGGAAAAGACTCCAATGGGAGTTGGGTCAAGCTCTTAGAGAATAAATAAGTGAGTTTCAAAAGCAAGACTTAAATCCTTGGCAAACAAGGCAGCAGGTGGCCAGGGTAGAGGTGTGAAATTTATAGGCTTAAAGCCTCCAGACCCAACATAATTCAAACTCAAACAAATCCCTTCCTCAAATCATTCCACAGTTTGCTAACCAATGGGAACCTGGGAAATGGTTAATTACCAGTTTTGTTTTTTAATTGTTGGGGGAAGGTGCACAAGTAGGAGGAAAAGGTTCTGGTTACTAGGTGGTGGTATGGGTCCACGCTGTATTTGCCCCCTGCACCTCCATAAGACATACAGTTTCCTGCTATCAAGCACGGCAAAGGTCAGTGCAGTTCTCCCATTTGTCAACTGGGAGCACCCCAGATCCTTCACAATTACTACTCTCCCCCCTCACCAAACAAAATAAGAGCCTTTAATCCTCTTTAACTCTCCCACATCTCCAAGGCCTGGACCCTACCCCCGAGTGCTTAATTTGTAATGGAAGAGGTGCCGGAGCTCAAGCAATTAGGTGCCAGGGTTCAAGCAATTTTTTTATTTTCATAACTGATGCAGCAAGCCCCGAGGTGCCGGGGCTATGAACTGCCAAGCCTAGAGGTGCTGGGGCTCTGCCCTGGCATAAATTAAACACTGCCTGCCCCTTTGCCAGGAACCACCTTTACTGCCCTCCAAACATGAGTCAATTCCCCTTGCTGCTGTTTCCCGATGGATTTGTCAGGTTAGACACAGCAAGGTGGAGCTGGGTCACGCTCCACAGCATGGAGCCAGGGCAGTAGACTGGCAGGGTGACAGCACCAATAGAGACAGAGCAGGTAGGGAGTGTGGAACCAGCAGCCTGCTTTGCAGTTAAGTGATTTACCCAAAGTCACCAGCACAGCAGGGAAAAAATTCCCAATCTCTTCACTCCCTGTCCTCTGCTTTAGCAAGAAGACTCTCCTTTCCCTTTTGGTACATACAGTTGTTGAGTCTCTACTTTCCTGATCATTTAAATCATGTGTTTGTTTTGTATCAGGTGCCATAACACCTGGTTTGGGGAGATGGTTTCTTTTGTTTCTCATCAATCTTTCACCCTGAGAACTCCACATCTGTAGTTTTCCACTACTATATGTCTTAAAATAAAACCAAACCCAATTTACATCTAAGTTAATATATTTGTTTGTGTCTCCACCATCAGGCTAATTGTAGGCCTTTTTAAAAAATACCCTTACCCGAGTGGAAAAAAACCTGCCCAAATAAAGGGCCTCAATCAAAGTTCTGAGATAAATTTGATGACAACAATCAAGGATCTGTCATAAACCAGAAGTATTAAAACACAGAGAAGGATTTCAGGGCCCTATGTTCACAACCCATTTTCAACTTCAGTGCTTCACAGTATTATAAAATGCAAATGGTTCCCTAGTATTGAAGTGATTACAACCTTGTGTGCCATTATTTCAGAATTCCCAAAGGAATGCAGATGAAGGAGTAGCGAGTGCTGGATGCGAAGGGGCAGCACTATTTATACCTTCTTTCAACCCTCCTAGAGTAGTAAATAATGAAGAATACAGTAACAATAAAAGCAAAAAATATAAAAGATATAAAAGCTAATAAAGATTTTCTGGTTTGGAAAAGGTTGCATTCAGGGCACAAGACAAGCATTTCTGGGCACAGTCTATCAGGAGTTTCTGAACTGGGAAAACCATTATTGTCAATTATTCCTCTGTAATGTTTCATGGAAGGCTTCGGCTCATACTGATTAGCAATGTAACGATAGAGGCCGTATTTGGGAGCAGTCCTGTCATTAAAAGAATAGACAAAATATCCCCGTAGATTGACATTATCCAGGGTGTATGCTGCAAAAGAAAACAAAGGGGAGGGGAAATGAAAATAAATCAGTTATTAATTTATTTAAGAACAATGCTGTGTGCTACTGTATGTTGCTGAGGAAGGTCAGAGTCAAACCCAGATGTGAACTCATCTCCACACAGAGAGAAGATAGATATGCATACATACATTACGAGGTTATCATTAAAAAGTGAGCATTGGATGACAATTACCATATAGCGTGATCTGTGATTACCACACAGTTTTTCCTTTTAATTAAAATATATATGGTAATTCTGGGGTAATGGTTGGCCTATTAATGCAGGTATAGATCTGTTTGTATAAAACAAACAAACAGTAGTATACCCATGCACAGACATAAACTTATAGTATAACATATAACTCGTGTGGTCAATGAATACATCTTCATTCAAGGGAGTGAAACCTAGGGGCATGGAATCTATCACAGAATGCAGCCAGTGAAATTATCTTTTTAAAGTCATGACAAAAGCAGTTTTCAGAATTTTCTACGATATGTTGTTTGGGGGGTTGGGATTTTTTAAAATTTTCTCTGCTTACCCATGCCCCCAGCAATGAAGATAAATATGGTGAACACAACCAAGCTCTTTACACAGTGCTTCCAAATGGCAAAAGGGGAGAGTCACATGAACCATTCCTGCCCGTGGCACCAGGAGAACATACACACCAACATGGGGGGAAGGGTGGAGTTGGAATAGTCAATGTAACCTTCCTCAGTTGGTAAATCCTGCTCCATCACATCAGAAATCATTCCAGGACATGCTATGTGTATCAACCCCATCTCCTCAAATTGCCCTGTGATTTTGGACTGAGGTGACCTGAGTCATTAACTGAGTCAGAAAGGTACTTAAGCATAAGTCTAGCTTTAAACACATGAGCAGACCCACTGAAGTCAAGTTAGGCATGTGCTTAAGTACCTTGCTGAATCAGGACCTGTCAAACATGGACTATTCAGCTGACATCATCTCACAGTGTATCTTCAACTCACATAAGTAAAGTTATGCATGTGCACAAGTGTTTGCAGGAGAAGGCTCTTACTGAAAGGTACAGGCTTCTTGGCAGCAGGCCGTGCAGTTGGCAAGGAGAGTCAGACTGAGGTGAGGCAATTGGTAAGGCTGGTGTGTAACGCTGGCGGTAAATTGCCCCTTAGCACAGGTAGGGAATATCCGACAGCAAATATTGTGATCTGAGAGTGTATTTTTATATATCACTTTATTTACGGGCATTCAAAGATATCTGCCACAACTGGTGGTTCCTTCACACATTACACTACAATGACCAAAAGCTACTCTTTTTCTTTGTTGTAAAGTTCTGTACTATCCAAGTACCTGTAGTTTGGAAGGCCGAGAGCCTCAAAAGTATTTAGGCACCTAACTCCCGTTGGATTCAAAAGGAGTTAGGCACCTTAATACCTTTGAAGATCTACACCAAAGCTTTTAAAGGTCGGCAACATGCAGCTTTTTGGCAGATGTCTCCCACTGCACAGTATGGCTTATTCTTACAGCACTGTGCAAATTATTTTTATTTCAAGGTGATGTAAAAACATTATATTGGGAGATGTGAGGCATTATTTAAAACTGGTCTTTTTGGATAACTAATTTAACTGTGTGTGCGCAACATTACACAGAGTGGAAGACAAGTGCTTATTAATTTTGTAAATAAATCTAAATAAATAACTAAGCTCCTCCCTCCAAATCCTTGTGAGGGACAGAAGTAAGCTTTTTTGTTTCAGTTTCTCCATCAGTAAAATGGTGATACTAAGACAGAGAGGTTGAAGGACTTGCCCAAGTCGCACAGAGTATGAGAACTGTGATAAGGAGTCAGGAATTCCTGGCTACAAGTCCTGTGCTCAGTCCACTAGATCATACTGCTCTCCAAAGGCAATGTTTATTTTTATCCCCATACACACAAAATGTAAAGGGAAAATATTTTCCTGTGCTATTTTTTCTGGCTCATACACCTGTGTGTTATTTCACTGAAGTTGAAGATGTAAGCTATGCAAAATTGCATACATCATTCAGAACCTGCTATAAACATTGCAGGCACAAAACTGACATCTAACCCAGTTTCAGTCCTAAGGAAAAAACTGAAAAGAAAGTATGCTTGCTTAGATTCATGGCTGGTGCAAATGGAGATTACTTACCTGTAACTGGTGGTATCTCGAGATGTGTGGACCAAGCAGTGTCTGTTGGTCTGCACCTGCACCGTAGCTCTCCGCATGCACCGAACCAAGGGCATAAAAGGCAGCACAGAACGTGTTCCTCCAAAAACGGTCAAATTTAAATTACTGCGCATGCCTCTGCATAAACCACAACTGTCTCAGCCAGTTGGGCACTATAAGGATGACTTGAGCCCTGTCTTAATGGATTTTCTATAGAACCTGTGGTATTAAAGGAATGGGAGGTAAGGCATATCTCAGGTGATCCTTCTGTGATAGCAGCTCATTGTCTCCCATCGAGCACTTGCCTAGGGGAAGTTTCTCCATCACCTGTGAGACAAAAAGATTGCAGGACAGCATTTCCCATTGAGTGAAGACCTTGTTGAGAACTGAATTGTGAAACTTTCATTTGTGGTTCATGGAAAAATGTCTGGTAAGACTGTTCACTAGGTGAGAACTGGTGAGTTCTGCATCCCGGTAAGTGTACTGCTGAAAGGGTTTATGATGGCTGATGCACCTATTCCAGAGGTTGGCTGCCTCTATACCAAGAGGGAGGGATCTCGTTCCCCCTGAAAAGGAACCAGGAGGAGGTCTGTGGATAGGAGTTGCCAGAAACTCAATCAGGTAACTGCTGTGAATAACTTCCAGTACCCATTTGTCGGCAGTTAGGGCCTTCCGGTTGCAGACAAATTGAGTAAGGCAGCCTCCAAAAATCTGAAGAGGGCAATGATGTGGCATCAATAAAGGGAAGGAGGTCTTGACAGTCCTATTCAAAGAAGCTCTTTGGCTGAGGGTCAGAGTAAGATGCAGTGGTAGATGCTGCAGGGGCTGCATTCCTGGGATGATAAACCTTCTGTCTTTTACATGGTGGTTCCTGAGGACATTGATGCGAACAGAGCTGAGGAGGCAGTCTCACCCTATACCCTGTCTGTGATGTTTTCTCTTGGGGGTTGGGGTATAGATCCTAGCGAGCAAAGAATTGTTCTAAAGTCCTTGAGGGAGTGGAGAGATTCATCGGTCTTCTTGTGGAACAGACTGATCCTATCAAAGGGCAGATCCTGGATGATACTCCGCATCTCGCTAGGAAAACCATAAGTCTCTCCCCATAACAACCTCTGGAGGCAATGTCCGCAGCATTCACCATGACCTGGAGGGAAGTTCTAGCCACCAATTTGCCCTCGTCAAGTAAGGCCTGAAAGTGTGCTCTATCCTTTTCCGGCACCTTGTCCTTGAAATTTAGAAACAGCATAATTGGTAAAATCATATTTGGCTATGAGGGCCTGATAGTTTGAGATCCTGAACTGGAGGGAGGTGGAAGAGAGGATTTTTCTTCCCAGAAGATCGAGCTACTTCTGTATCTTATCAGAGGGAGTAGCCATTGGTCCCTGCTGCCTGGATCTCTTGGTAGCCACTTGGTAGCTTAGGCAATGGGTGAGAGAATAAAAACTCTCCCCTTTTGGACTGAACAAAGTCCTTTCTGGGATGGGAGAACAAGAGGTAGGAGGGTGCCATGCCATCTTTCTTGGGTCTATAATGGCCTCGTTGATTGGGAGGGCCACCCAAATGGGACCCGAAGGCTGCAAAATGTCCAGCAATCTGTGTGAGGCCACTGAACTTCCTCAAGCTTTATCTGCAGCTTGGAAGCCATCCTGTGCATGAGCTACTGATGTTGCCTGAAGTCATCAGGCAGAGATGGAGAAAATGAAGTCACTGCCTCATCCAGTGAAGACTATGAAATCACCCCTGGAATTGTCAGAACCAGTGGATCTGGCCTTCTACCAAATACTGCGATGGGGCCGGTTGGTGTTGGCGGGGCAATGGTAAATATGGCTCATGTACCGAATCCCATGTGTCTACGGTAGGTGTCCTAGGGCCCCCAATAGTGCCAGTAGATGGGATCAACTGGCAGGGTAGGACCCCATGGCATAAGGTACCACTGGTCCCATAGCCAGTCATATCTGGCCAGGACCCTGATCTTCTACAACTGCTGCTCAGGGCCACCTCTACCTGGTACCACAGAGACTCCTGAGAAGCTTCAAACTCATCAGAAAAAAAGGCTGGATCCTGGACTACTGGCAGAACCGACAGTACTGATGGCTACATAACTAGGCTGGCAAGCAGGATGGGAGAACGACTCTGCATCCTTGGGGTAGCCTCTTCCTCTGGAGGAAGAATGTCCAGGAACAGAAATGGTCCTGTTAGGAGAGGTGAATGAGGATGGGGAGAGCAAAAATATCCTCCAGGGAGATGTAGGTCTCAGATCACCCTGGGTGTGGGGAGAGTCCATTGGTGGAGCCGTCGGATCCAAAGCTTCCCTGGTCACCGTGGAAGTCAGATCCATCAGGGGCTGTGTTGTTATAGGCACCATGTCAGCTCTAGATATGGATGGGAGCACCAGAGGCTGTTTGTCTTTAGCCTTAGCCATCAGAACTGGTGCCAGAACCGGAGGGTCTGTAGTCTTGCACATCACTTTCTCTTGCTGAGGAAATTTATTCAGGCCTAAGTTCTTAGCACCTGTGTGTGCAGGCTCTCCCAACTTTGATGGGGTTGGAGAAGGATCCTCTCTCTTCAGGGCAGGCTTCAATGAAGATGGTTTGTCCCTATGCTTATGAGAGTGCCCCTTACTGTCATGGGAAGCCTTCTCTTTAGGCTTAAAAGACTTAGCTTCCATTCCTGAGCTCAAGCTCAGAGGGGTGCTGCCAGCTTGATAAGGTTGATATACTTGGGGGGTGGTCTCCGGCCAAATCTGATTGGAATCTCACTGTCTTCTCCATCAAACCTCAGTCCCTGAATCTTATAACTTCTGGGGGAAAGGAGTGGCAGATACAGCTC